AAGTGTTTTCAATGACATGTTAATAGATAATGTCTTTTATTTTTAATTTCATGGTCATCAGTGTAGTGTATTTTAACATCTAGTATTCCCAAATCCAGCAAGTTAACTTATGCTGTAAAAGCATTAAACCAACCCACTAACTTGGATCAGCACCAAAGTTTCTAAGTACCTTACTATGGTGCACTTATATGTCTTAAAATTGGTAAGTAGAGATGTGGCTGCAGGCAAATTTATTACATAAGAACACTTGGTCTTGCAGGCTGGAGAGTTCTTCCCTTGCCCTGCACCCAAACTGGCATGCCCTGGTCAGACCTGGGGCCTCGTAGGTCCCATACATCTTCTCCCCTAGCTCTGCTCAGGTTCCACAGAAGCTACACCCACACCCTTCCCAGCACTGCTTCCGTGAAGCGTGCGCATCTTCAGCTTTTCCACAAAGCAATTGCTCTCTTGGCCCATAAGAAGTTGTTTTGCTTTGAGTTTTGTCAGTTGTTAGGACTAAAGCACAGAACTTTTAGATTTTTAAGGATTCATTTGTCTACACCAATTTTGTGAAAATTCAGTTCTTTGGTTATCTGAATTAATAAAAAGCAAATAAAAGTGAATGTCATTCTTAAAATCCTTTTTAAAAAAAATAGCATGCAGCTGGAAAGGTGGCTCACACCCTTGCTGCTCTTAGAGAAGAGCGGAGTTCAGTTCCCAGCAACCTCACTGGGAGGTTCATAACCACCTGTAACCCTGTTACTCCAGGTCCACCAGTTCCGATGCCTTCATCTGACCTCCGTGGTACCCAGGAGCACTTAGCAGGTGCTCACCCAGACACATACACATGCATGGAAATTTAAGGTTTTTTTTTAATTTTAAACTTAAAAAGAAATAGCAAATACATAAGGAAATGACCTCATCCGGTTGTGTGTGTGGCATTGTTAGCAGTGACAGTAGCTGTAGAGGAAGAGTTTGTCATATCTGTGAGTCTGATTTCTGTTCCTTGTAAAAAAAATATAAATTGACTTATAAGGGTTTTTTCTTCATTCAACTAATGATTCAGAAACATCATTTATATATGCAATCCACCATCAGCTCTATAATAAAATAAAAGATTTTAATGGACCAGTCCTCTCCCCAAAAACAACCTTAACATTATTAATAAATTTCCCTAGAATATTAGTATACCTTATGAAGGGCCTGACCCAAGTAAAAGTCATTCATCTTTACTCAAGTAAGAAGTGCTTGGGATGGGATGCAAATCTCACTGGTATCTCCTAGAAAAATTCATGAAGTTTCTTTTTAGGCAATATGAAGCAGAAGGAGCATTTCATTCCGTAGTAACCGGGTTGGTGTGGTGGCTCTGCAGCTGTGCCTCTGCCGTGCTGGCTGCACACCATCTCCTCTAAGCCCCTGTGCAGCCTTTGGCCGCCACCCTGGGCACATTCTCTCTCAAACTCCCCGTGGGACCCCCAGCAAAGTCATTTACTTTCTCGGGGCCTTGATGTTTCTTGCCTATGAAATACTGTACTGTGTTGCCTCAGATCACTTCTAGAGAAATCCAAATAATACTCTTTTAAGAAGTATTATAGATAAGCAGCCAGCATTCTGTCGAGGTTGTGCTTGTCATGACTGCTAAACATATCAATTTAGATAGATAAATAGTATTCGATTCATTTTGTTACCACCCGATTGTATGTTCTTTTCTCCGAATGCAGACAGAATGTGCATGTAGGTTTCTGTCTGTAGCTGATTTATCTGAACACTGAAGGGACTGTTTTTAAGCTGATGAGCATGCTCCCTGGCTTCCCCATTCTTCTCGTATCTGTTGTCTAAAAGATCTCTGCTGGTTTTTTTTTTTTTCTTAATTCCTCACATTTACTCCATTTCTTACCCCTTTAGTTCTTAGAGACCAGGGTGTAGATAAATGACAGTTTGGACATCTGTGTGTATCTGCATTTATGACTCTAGGTTACCTGCAGCCTCGAAATAGATAGCAGAGTTCTTACCGCACATCTGCTGCCCGGAAGAGCTCCCAGTCCAGCTGGTAGAAGTACCATTAGAACTACATTCATGTCAGCGCAGTAATGAGCCCCGAAGATTCATGGTAAGAAATACGGATGCTGCCTCAGTCTGCAGCAGCTAGAGGGGCTACTGAGAGAATGTGACCCCCGAATTTTAGGTTATTAAGGTCGAGGAGAAGAGCCTGGTAGTTCTTGACGAGGGAGGCTGTGCGGAAAGAAGGCACAGGACAAAGGGATGAACTGCGTGCCTTAGGAATGGAGGCCTGGCAGGCCTAGTGAGCCTGTTCAAGGCAGACGCCATTTCAGGTTCCTACGACCAAGAGAAGGGGCCTTAGGCTCCATGTTTGTGAGTTTGTGAGCTTAGCTTACTCCCTAAACCATGAGACGTGAGAGCGTTTAAGGGAAGAAAATGGTGTTTACTGGGGTTTGGTCTCATCTCTTTCATAATTCCGTTCTATAATGTTTAAAAGATGAAATTTATGTCATTAAAATGCACATAAGATAATTTTAGGTTTTTGTGCTCTGTTGTTTCTAAATTATGCTCTGGCTTTTATTTCCTAAAACCAAAGAGAGAGAGAGAAAGAGAGAGAGAGAGAGAGAGAGAGAGAGAGAGAGAGAGAGAGAGAGAGAAAATTAAAAAGCCTTACTGTACCATCAAATGGTTCTTAACAAGAATTTATATATATGTACATTTTTTCAAAATGTGATTTTTTTGTTAATTTCACCTTATTTTTTAATGGGTTTGGAACTATGTTAATTCTAAATCATTTAAAATATATTTTCAATGTATAGACTCTGCTATATTAAAGAAGGCTTCTTGCTTTTGATATTTTGTCTCAATTTATGAAGCACCACTGAAAAAGTAACAGACAGACACATGGCTTGGTCCACTCAGGTAACCTAGAGGTGAGCCAGGCCACGTGTCAAGGAGGCCAGCTGATCCCGGTACCAGGTTTCAGAGTCTAGGAACAGAGGTGATAGCAGCCCCAGTTGCTAAGATCAGTGGCATCTCACCCTTCAACACCTTTGTGAGTGCCCGGCACAGCAGAGGCCTGCGGTCCTGCTCCTTGGGCACTGTTTATGACATACACAGCCATTGCACCCCATTTTGCCTTTCCCACAGATAGGAAAAGTGTGGGCTCCAGTCCTAACTTCCTCTTTGTGCCATTTATGACCTCTTCCCTTGCCTTTCAACAAAGAAAATAAAGCTGGACCAGTGCCTCAACTAAATATTCTCGACCCGGATGTCCACCCGAGCTGGTCTAGGAATATCATTGCTGCCTCCTGTCTATCAATGCAGCACATTTTCTGTGGCTTCCTCTTTCTCCTGCTTGTCCTTTTTGTTCATTCTCTCTCTCTCTTTGGTTTTTGGTTTTTCAAGACATGGCTGCCCTGGAACTCCCTCTGTAGATCAGGTTGTCCTCGAACTCATGAAGATCCACCTGCTGGAATTAAAGGCATGTGCCACTGTCTCCAGGCATCTGGGACTTTAAAAAAAAAAAAATTGGAAAAGAACAAAAGTATCCAGGAAATCTCTGAGCCTGCACAAAATAAATATTTTCTTTGCTCTTCTTACCTAGAAAAAAAATCTCACTTTTATAATTAAAAAGCCTGAACTTTCAAACTTCAATTACACTCTAGCATTTTAATATTTAAGCCTTAGTGAAATTATTCTGTTTGAATGGGGAAGCCAGATGTAGTCACTTGAATAAAACAATAAACGTGTACACTTCTGTCACGTCAGCCGCGTTTCAGGTCCCCATAGCCACTACCATTAGTAGCTACGGTGCCAGACTGCAGATAAAAAAAAAAAAAAATCTCCATCCCCTCAAAACTTAATGCCAGCCTAAGAGAAGCCCATCATTTTGATAGACACGATGAAAAGTTCCCAGTCCCCGAGCTTTGCATGCACAAGAACAATGAGGCAGACCAAAGAAGCCATGCTAGCACGTTTAAAAAGATGTCCTCCTGCTAGGAAAACCTTCCCCACAGCAGATGGGGGCAGTAACACGGCCTCTACGTTGTTCCTTCCGACTGTTGAATTCCATTTTTAAAGCTATGTCTATATTTATAATAGGTTTACTTAAGAAGAAAAATCTTTTGAGATAGAAGCTGCTGAAACCATGTTTTTGTATGTTAGTTGGTCGCATTAGATGGAACTACACTGGAGGTATATGAAATCTAGGCAGACCATTTGAAATGTTTTTCAGATGAGATCTGTTTAAGATGAGCCACAGATTAATAAAACATTTTGCTTTTAACACTTTGTGTCTACTTAAGAAGCACCTACTGCTTGCAAGTTACAGAGAGATGCACCCGTCGGTCCACGTTGGGCCCCCATGGCTTTTCTTCAGGGAACCCAGAGGTGGGCTACTTGAGCGGGGAGTGTGTCAAAGGTCCAGCCGAGCCTACTGCTGGCATCTATGCTGACTTTTATAACTTCCATTATAGACATTCTCCAGGAAATGGACTGACAGAGGATTTGCCTTGCATACTTGAAATACAGGATATACCCATTTACAGGTAATACAATGATATCTTTGCCATTGACTATTAACTTATATGAAGGTAATGTATTCCTCTTTCATGCACAAAATCCATCAAAAAACATTGATGTCTAAGAGACTTGAGAGCCTTTGGTTTATGAGAAAAGTCCCCTGAAGATATACTTACCCGTTATTAACTATGACAGTAATATCATGTATTAAATAGTTGTGAAAGATTGGTAATGAAACAAACACATTTATTATGCTTCACTGAGATTGGTTTGTTTTTCTGTCGTTGCTAAACTCTTTATTTTCAAGAAATAGCATAGTTTCAGGTCACACAGAAATTTGACAAAGTAAACTTATACACATAAGCATTTATCAGAACCTTAGTGAGTGCTTGATAAATGAGCTAATTAAAACTGCAGTTGGTCTTGCTTTGTGAGTGGTGAATACTGAAAAAGCAATGGGAGAAACTGTTTGAAAATGCATTCTTGCCAGGTGAGGTGGTACACGCCTTTAAGCCCAGTACTCAGAAGGCAGAGGCAGGCGGATCTGTGAGTTTGCGAGCCTACTCTACATAGGAAGTCCCAGGATAGCTCAAGCAGTGCAGACAGACTCTGTCTCAAAATAAAATAAAATAAAATTCATTCTTTATTCTTAATGCTCCATCTCTCCAGTAAGCTCTTACAACAGGGATTTTAGCTAATGGGCAATATTGATTTGTGTTGTATCCATTGTCTTTCCTTGAGTTACATCGTCGGCTTCATAGACTGTTTCATTTGTTGAATTTGATGCTGCATTTGAAATGAAGCCTTTGGTTTTTCTACTTAAGTTGCCTGCAATACACAAGACCAAATGAAATAATTAGTCAAGCTTATGACAGAGAAATTGTCTTTTCAGCGTCTGTGCTTGAATTGTCGTAACAGTATCGAAAGTAGAAAGTTCTAAAAATACTGTATGGATGAGGGAGAACCAACTCCATTCGGGATGGTTTTGAGCCATTCGTCCTAAAAGCGAAGGGAGATCACTCAGTCACAGGAGCCTGAATTTCATTTCCAGGTTCTTTCCTCCACACCTCCACGAGAAAGCACACATTCCGTAAGGAGCTAACAATTTCGGGGTCACTTAATGAAAGTATGACTATTCCTACCTGACATAATACAATAAACTTCATTAAAGCTAACTCTGATGATTTCAAGAAGCTGAAGGCTTTGCCACCATAAGCAATTGGGATGTGAGTTTACGCCAGAGTCCCCTTCACACACTGCATAGAAATCCATAGTAAGCAAGGGCTGGGCCATGTGGTCTTCACTAACCAGCATTTGGGCTAACCAAGGAGAAGTGGACTGTTAGTCTGTGGGTGGGGGTTCTGTAAACTTAAAGCCTAGTGTGGGTCTACTGACTCCTACATGTTTCCTAAGCAATGCTCACATATTTAAATTCATAATATTTGAATTACATTTTCAAGGCCTTCTCCCCCTACTTCATCACAAGCAGGTTTTGCGGCTTTTATGAAAGGGGGATCGTCCAGGTGTTATTTCTAACCTAATAATTTGTATGCTCTAACTGTCTTTCTTCTGGCAGGTTTGGCTTCCATTATGCATTTCTGTGACAAAAGCTAGAAGAATTCGTCAGAATGGCCTACCGCTCCCTGAGTTGTACACGCTCTCAAAATACATTCTTCACCTTTAGCACTTGCAAAAGCCCTTATTCCCCAGCCCTGGCACATTATTTACTTGGCTTCCAGATCCTTCTAAACATGTTAGCTCATCAAGACAATTTCCTAGGCTGGCTTCTAAAACCAAAGCGATTACCCCTAACAAGGCAATTTCCTAGTCGAATAAGAAAAGATTGGTTGTAAACACTTGAGCACTCCAGAATTTACTCTGCTAAAAATCCAAGACCACTGTCAATGGATTTCCCTCCAGCAGCTTCAAGTAACTGGAGATACAGAAAAATAGCAACTAGAGCCCCAGTGATGATAGAGTCCCCTAACATTTTCCTGGGACCATTTTAATTAAAGGACCCGCCTCAGCAACCTGATTTCTCTAGTTTCTTATCCAGCCACGTAGGGATAAAGCCTTCCATCACAAGTCGCAACATGGATTTGATTTCAAGTAATAAATCTGTAATGCCGTTGAACTGCTAAGGATTTGTCACACGTGGAAAGTTTCTCTTATTTAATTCCTATTTCGTTAGTTGAGTATGAATTGCCGAGAGCCATCATCATAGTTCCTCCTTCCGTTCCTGCTGCCAAGCCTTCATGTTCCCATCCTCATTTCATTTTAGTCTGGCTACTGTATGTAAATCTGAGCCTTCCTTCAGCCCTGGACGTCACACACTGACAGTTAAAGCTTTGACCTTTGGCAAATTTAAATCCAGTTCATCAAACAAAACATTCTGCCTGTTCTCCATTGCAGCTCTGCCAAATATGCGCTCTGATAGCTGTTAACCTAGTGTTTGTTTCAGAGCTGGTGGTCCTCGGGGGCCAGCTTATCATGTAATTGTGAACTTGGGCCTTGACAGGCACTTCAGAACAGAAAAAGAACACTGGGGACCCCCGCAGGTCTCTGTCCCCTGGCTACCTGGCAGAACCATGATGGAGCTTCCCAGCCCTTCTCCATCCAGCTTACCCTAGCTGCTGGGCTGTCCTGGAGCTCTAAGCAGCATCCAGCTGCTGATCTGGCTGGATAGCTTTAGGAAACAATCTTGGATCTACAACCCCAAGTCATTCTGTAGTGTTGGTTTTGATTTTTTTAAGAAATAGTTTCAGCTGCAGGCCATGATCAAGGAAGTTTGTCCATTGATCATCTCTCTTTCCAAGAGACTCCCTGAGTGGCTTTTTATGCTAGTGAATCCGAATTATGCCATTGTCCACTAATAACACAATGAATTCTTTAAAAGCTTTTGTGAGATAAAGTATTACTGAATAGAGTCAGCAGACCAACTTAATGAGTTTTGAGCACTTGTTCCTCATTATTAGGTATTTAATAAAATGATTCCCAAAAGTATCTATAAATTTACTATAAAACCATCAAAATATCACTTGACTGTTTCCAAATTTTAGAGTGTGATTTAAAAGATAATTTGGAAACTTAACCATTACTTACAAAAAGCCTAGACGTTCTTAACAGAAGCTTGGTGGAAAGAAGGAAAGAAGGGAGGAGGGAGGGAGGGAGGGAAGGAAAGAGAAGGATTCTTGACTTAACATTAAAATAATATGACATCAATAATTTTAAATCAATCACAATTTAAGAATAATCAGAATAATTTAACAGAATAAGTCTAAAAACAGACCTGGGTATATACAACAATTTATGATAAGTGACCATTTAGGTTGACATTAGAGAGATATATTTGGGCAACTGACTCATTTGGAAATATAAGAAGATTCCCTACTTCGCTTCTGTAGAGTTATTAAAACTTTAAACACACATACATGTATAAATACATCAGAAAAAACCTGTGGTATCTATGAAAGACTGAATATTCTCATAGAAAAAATATATGAAAATTAGGCAGTGTGCCAAAAAAAATGGTAAACATGAAACTGTCTGATTAGATACATTTGAAATAAAATACCATTCTTTGCTGGACAATGGTAGTGTTCTCCTTAAATCTTTAATCTTAGCGTTCAGGAGGCAGAGGCAGGTGGATCTCTGTAAGTTTGAGGCCAGCCTGGTCTATACAGCAAGTTCCAAGACAGCCAGGGCTACACAGAGAAACCCTGTCTCAAAAAACAAAGCAACAATAAAAAAAAAAAAAAAACAGAAAAATACTATTTTTTATAAAATCAGTAAAATAGATATCTTTAAATAAAAAAAAATAATACCCAAAGCCACAGAGACTGTGGAAAAGCAAGTAAGTGTAAAATAGTAATTTTATGGAAGGTAGGTAGAAAGTATACCCATCTTGTATATGTGTGTACACTCAGATGAGGTACTCCGCTGCTAAGGATTATGGGAGGAAAACAGGTGTTCAGTGTGTCTGTAAGAGAGTGGTGGAAGTGGAAGTCAGTAAGATAATTAAATACGGTGTATGTTACCAACTGAAATGAGCCAGGCTTCTTCTTAAAGAAATGGTAGGTTCCAATGTTGGAAAAGGGAAGGTACTGAAAGTCTTGGAGAACAAAAAGTATTCCCAAAATGATGGACAGATTTCAGGCAGGAATGGGATACAGTTTGCAGGAGTTTGTTCAATGGCGAGAGAGATGGCTCAGTGGTTAGGAGTGCTTTCGAGGCTATCATGAGGATGTGAGTTCGGGTCTCAGCCTTCATGTAGAGACAAGGTCCTGTGGATGCCTGTGATCCCAGCACTATAGAGGGTGGATGGGCCTGGAGGATCACTTGAGCTTTCTGGCCAGCAGCCTGGCTCCAGCCTCAGTGACAAACCATGATCCAAGGAAGTAAGGCAGAACCTGGTACAGCAGGACACTCAATGCCTACCTCTGGCTTCTGCATGCAATGTGCATATACCATACACATATATACACCCCCAAATCCAAATATCCACTGACCAAATGTAAGATGGATCAAAATCAACAACAACAATAATATTTTAACATGCACAAATCCCATGCTGACATTCAAATGAATCAGCAACCCTATGGCTAGAACGCATCTGTTTCTCTAAAAGGCACATGACTTCAAACTGGCGAGTTATGCTATTAAGAACTGAGGACCTTAGGAGGTGATTAAACCACCAGAGTTCTGTCCTTCTATGTGAAGTAGCAATCCTGCAAAAGGACTGGAGGGAACTAGCCACCTTCTTTTTGCCCATCCTCTCCTTGTTCCACAAGAAGACGCCGCATCATGGCGCTCACTGTCTGAGAAGCAGACTTCGGCTCTCACTCAGTGCTCAATACACAGCCATCTTGACCTTAAACTTCCCAGCCTCCGGAACTGTGAAGATTAACTTCTTTTCTTTATAAATTATACAGTCTAACTATTCTGTGTCAGTGGCACAAAGAACTAAGATAAATAAACAGGGGAGCAGGGAAATAATACATTTAAAAGCTGTAAGAAGTTGGAAAATTACCACTTATAAGTGTCATCGTAATAACAGTTGTCAAAAATTCAGCGACTGGCTGAAAATTCACAGAGGAACAGGATATATTCATGGTTCCAAATCCCTCACTGTAATCATGCTACTCTCACTGCTAATCAAGCCAGCCAAGATCGTGTGCTGTCTGTGGTGCTTTGCTACCATACCTTTTTGTGTTCCTGTAAAAATGTATGCTCTCTCTCCAATCACGAGAAAACGGACAAACAGAAATTGAGGGACACTGCACAAAATATCTGGCTTTGTTTTTTCATCCCCAAAACTATCAAGGGCATAAAAGAAAAAAAAATGCTGAGGATTAAAGAAAACACGAAATAAAAGTATACAAATTAATTTTGGACCAGATCCAGGATAAGAAAAATTAGCTATTGAGATTAGGAAACTTTAATATAAGCCCCAGAGTGTATGTTGCTGCATTAGTGTTGTGGTTGTTAACTCGGATGTGTGAATAGGGTTCACACAAGAGGAAGTATCTTTGTTCTTAGGAAGTGCTATCGATTTTAGAGTTTAAAGGAACATATGTACAAAGTACCAAGGATAAAACTAATGAAGCAAAGTATTTACAATCAGTAAATCTGCAGAGAGATATAAAAAATGTTTATTCTATCAACAGCAAAAGTCATGGTGCTTTGTGAAGTAATAAATTAAATGGATTAAATGAATTAAATAATAACAGGAATTCATTTAATAGCAAAGAAGATACAACGATTGTGGTTTTTTTTAAAGGGATGGGGAGGGGGAAATAGAGAGACAGAGAGACAGAAACAGACAGACAAACACACACACGGGGCAGGGGGAGATTCTCACCATATAACCCAGGCTTGCCTCAAACTTGCGATCATCCTGCCTCACCCTCCTGAGTACTGGGATCAGACAAGGCTGCCATGTCCTGCTATTTCCCAGTTTGCTTTATATGTGATCTAGAGACACATAGGAATTCCTCCCTGAAGGATATTCAGTGCAGCGCTGACACCTTGCACCTCTATGCTGAGAGCATTTGTTGGCTTCTCCGTATTTCCAGTGTTTCTACAATGAACATGAACAGAAAGAAACTTTTCTTTCTGAGGAAGCAAGAACATCTTCTAAGAAGAAACACAAAACCATTTCAAGTCAGCCTAAGACCCATTTTGCTCATGGATACAACAAATGGTTATGTGACTTTTCCCCCCAATTTACTCTCTCGGTATTTCATGTGCAGTTTTGTTTTTCACCTGTGTAACTAACTGTGCCTTACTGCTAATTCATCTCCTTCTTTTCATTTCTATCTTACATCTTTCCAAGGTGACCACAGAACACCAGCTTGAGGGGGTTTATTATTTCTGTACAATACAATTGTGTTGTTCTTCCTAACAGTTCTAACGCTGCCTTTCATGTTCATCAGACACCGCACTTCTCAGAGTCCCTGTCATTGATGGTCCCCATCACTCCCACAGGACCTACTCAAGCCTACTCGATGCCTCAGGGTGAACAGGCTTTAACTTCCTGAAGCAGCAATTTTACTTAGGTATGGGGAGACAGATGTCATTATTAGAGGATAGCAAGCTTCATTCAGTTGAAAATTCCCATACATTTTCAAGCAAAATGAGAAATGATTAAGTGCTGAAGCTCAGAAGGTTGTTTTTTGGTTTGTCGAGACAGGGTTTCTCTGTGGTTTTGAAGCCTGTCCTGGAACTAGCTCTTGTAGACCAGGCTGGTCTCGAACTCACAGAGACCCGTCTGCCTCTGCCTCCCGAGTGCTGGGATTAAAGGCATGCGCCACCACCGCCTGGCTTGTTTTAAGGCAGGCCTCTCCCCTGCTAGCCCTGAGAACTCTGGGCCTTGACTTCCTTTCTCCTACGGCTCTAACACCTTCACTATGGAAACGTCTGAGAAGTGGTGATCTATGATCTTGTTCCTCTGACTGCTCTGTCGTTGACCATGAATACTCTCCCACAACCTTGAAATGAGCCCTCGTGATTAGGAGTATCTTCACATGGGCATCTTTTGCTTGGCAATTTAGCATCTGAGGTGAAACAATACAGACTTCTAAATACTGGCGTTTGAAATGTGCATAACCCAAAATGTAAAAGTTTAAAAAGAAGAAAACAGTCGCAAGTTACAATTTAAAAACCCACCAATTGCTCAGTGAGGGGTGCTCTGTATGGTGTGGACAACGCAGGTTAAGCTACTAATGTCTGTAGCCATGGCCCGAAGAGACCCACCTGCCTTTTCAAGATCAGTTCAAAGACTGTAAAGCCTTAAACTGTAGACATTTAAAATCAAAATATCATGGAATAAAAATAAGCAAAAAAAAAAAAAAATCCTGGCAGTGTGATCTATGATTAGCCTATTTTAGACCCACACCACTGTCATTTATAGGAAAAGAAAAGATTCAGGGCCTTACATCCATTGTAATAAGTACAAGAACACAGGTCCTCCTAGGCCATCCAAATTACCTGTAATGAAAACAGTCTCCATTATAAAAATTAATCTAAATAGTCTTCCCCGGGAAAGAACACACTAATTGATTATCTAATACCAAATGTTCAACCCTGAGAGCATACTTCATGTAACATTGTACAGACTGAGTAGGTTGTACTTATGTATTTGTGTGTGTGTGTGCGCGCACACGCGTGGAAGTGTGTACATGTGCAAAACAACTAATGAAAACAGAGGGTATGAATTTAAGGAAGGGTATGTGGGAGGGGTTGAGGCAGGAATCGGAAGGGGGAAATATGTAATTAGAATTTTAGAAAATAACAGATAATTTTAAGAAACTAGTCTAAAATAATGTGGAGGAATTTTTTAAGAGGAGACAGCGTTGAAAGAAAAGCTTTCTAGCCAGTCAGGTCAGTTTTCCTCAGATATACTACTTATAGGCCTGATTAATTATACAACTATTTCCTTAAGTTTCCAATCTTTAGCACTGCCGTTAAATGCAGTAACACCCCTAACCTGTCTTCCCCATAGCTTGAACAATGGCATCTCTCGCTAGGTGTTGAAAACCCTGGAATGGTACAGTCATATTTAATCAAGGGCACAGTATTTAATTATCATTTCAAAGGGTCAGTTCAAGAGGAACCCATTTTTCTATCCCAGCAACATACGGATTACCTATTTTGTTTGGGGCTCTGCACTATAATTAATAAGAAGAAGAAAAAAACAATCCACAGGACCAAAATCACGTCCTTTGAAAGCAGCAGCAAGGCACTGGTTATTTTACATTTTGTATGCTGCTTTCTAATAGCCAGACTCAGGAAAGGTCTATTAAATTAACTTGCTACCTTGATGTATACATTTTGTGAGGAACAAAGTGGGGCTATTTCATTGCATGAAAGCAGCCGCATCGAACTTCATAAGAAGTGCATTACCTGGCTTCATCCACTAAAGAGCAAAAAACATGCCAAGTCTGAGTTGACATGCTAGTAATTATGCTTCTGGGGACACATAGCAAACAGGAAAAAAAATTTTGCAATAGTCCTTGAGCTAAACCAGGAAAAAGAACCACTTTTATTTTAGCACAGTGAATTCCATAGAAGGCGCACTCGATGTATGTCTAATGCCTGCAGCAATGACCACACTTGGTCAGTGTTACACAAAAGACATTCCTGGGATCAGTAAAGATGGAAGACTTGTCAAGTCAATTCAGGAAATGTGTAAGTATTATAAGCACTAGGGATATTATAGTCAACAAACATGGCAAAAATTATTTGCTGGAACTTAGTCTCTAGTCAGAAATATCAAAGATTTATAGATAACAGGTAGGTAAGTAAATAGATAATAATTTTTGTTACTAGTGAATAAATGCTTTGGGGGGGGGATTGGCTAGGAAGAGCAGAAGGGAAGTTAAGAGTGCAGGTAAGGAGGAACTCCTGGGAAAAGGATCTCTCAGGAAAGAGTAAAAGGAACTGCGAGTCACACAGATGTCTGAGGAAATGGTGGCAGCGTGTGCAAAGGCCCTGATCAAGAATCTCAAGGAATGGCAACGGACCTAATGTGGTTTGGCAAAGGAGATAAGAAAAAGAAAGACCTAGAGGGCTGGTCACAAAAGGTCATAGTGGAGAGTTGTATCCGTTGAGGGGGCTGGGAAAACATTAGGGTTTGAGGGGTGGCATAGATTTTAAGAGTCTCGACATGATTTCTCTATGGAAAGTAGGAGGAAGAGTGGGAAGAAGAGGCACTTGTTTGAAAAGCTGGGGCTGAGAAACTCTGTTTTTAACATGGTTCCCACCACCAGCACCAGCACCAGCACCACCACCAGCACCAGCAACAGCACCAGCAACAGCACCAGCACCACCACCAGCACCACCACCAGCACCACCACCACCACCACCAGTGATTCTTGATCATAGAAAAGATTCAGGACCATGATTAGATTCAATCATCTAAGCGAATGAGACAATAATTCCTCTTACAGTCTGATGATGTGATACCCATTAATCAACCACACAGTTGTGCTTGTGGAGAAGCTGGATCAAAGTCACTTGGACTAAATTCAGCTCCGAGCCTGTCAGTTTGGCTCCTTGTTATCAGTGCTTCGGGACGTGAACTCCAGAGGGATCTGTCCTGCTAGACTATGACAAGAGGACACGAGGGACTGGGGAGATCCTTCTGTTTCTCCCCAGAGGAGACTACAGCTCATGCAGACACATGGTGATGGTGACATATTTGATAAGGTCACAGGACAGGTACTTCATAAATATGACAGAGCCCATCATTCAGTTAAAACACAGAGACTTCCTACTTTAAGAATATTTTCCTTTTCTTTTGAAATGGAAGCAATAAACATTCATATGCCATTCTAAATATGTCAACGTAGATCCTAAATTTATGTTCTTTAAATTTATATTCTTTAAAATATATTCTGCATACACACATGTCAAAATTCATGACTGGTGTTTCCTAATACGCTAAAAGAAATCAGTTTCCACACCGTTTTGATAGTTTCATGATGATAACAACTGACTTCTATATACTGCTTTATAGCTGAAACAATAAGTAGACAGACACACAGTCCATAAATTATGCATAAAAGTTTCTTTCTACTTTATAGTTACATTGTGCACATATACCTACAGCAATGGAATTAATTAGTTTGCAGGCTATTCAGTAACAGAATGTTCTATTTGTTTTTTGTATTTTTTTGCAAACATCTGAATTGTTTTTGATGCCCCCTTGATTCCTCACACTGGATGCCAGTTTGATCACTGACTGACCCGTGTAAAGTGCAGTAGCAAGAGTGTGCTGCTGGGCGTTCTGTTGTGTTATGTACTTGATGGATGTCCTTGGTTCCACCAGAAAGCCAAAATGTAATTTTTCCAAGAAGATAAGTGTTGATAACTAAAATGGACTTAAATATATCCCAGTGAATGTACTGGCCCACTGACTTGTTTTCCACAGGGCATTTATAGCCTGTTAGTTTTTCTTGACCACTATTTCCCTAAAGTATGCCATCACCTAAGGCTGACTCACCGTGAACTCTTGCAAGGCTGCACTGTAAACGGAATCTTTAAAGAATGTTCCATCTTAACAGTGTTCTCTGTCCCCCAGCTAAGATATGGTACAGGTAACAGATTATAAATAATAGATTTGGGTTACCTTCTAGGGCAGAGGATGCCTCTAGGTGCTGGAGTTTAAGGCCATTGTCTAATCTTTGAGGTTTTGTGTACAGAAATAGATAGCAGAGGACACAGACACTGATGACAAAGGCAAGCAATACAAGGGCGGCGATTCCCAGTCCAATCAGAGCACCAATGCTGAGGAAACAGAAAAGAAGTCATGTCATCCAAAGCGCTGTGCACTCAAGCTCAACCAAAGGCGCCGATGCTCATTCTTGCTCTCACTCATTCATATATAAGCAAATCCTGTCTTACTCCAGACAATAGTTGATTGATATTTTCCTCTGGAATTCTTGTCATATCCTGTCTATTGCATTTAAGGACTTTCAAAAATTTTGTATGTTACAAGTTGTGTGACATCTATGAGACAGGTCAAAGATCGTATGATTCTCTAGGAATATCATAAATATCTCAGTCCAATAAATCAAGTTAATCAAATTAATACCACACCTTAGGCCAGTTTCACAAGCAAAAGATAAGCAGGAAAATACTTGCTTCTCTAAGAGTCAGGAAACATTTATCAGCGATAAAAAACTTTTCTCTTAGAGATGTATATGAAAGACACCATATGTTAGTATACAAAACCATAACCATTGCAGAAGAAGAGGGTTTGGTTAAAAGAAAGCTGTTTACAGAATGTATATGAAATTCACTTTCAAAGTCTGAGATTTTCCTTTCATTTCTCTGCACCTCGTTGGGAGTTATTCATGTATGTGGTTACACATATGGCTAGACACTGAAGTAGCAGTTCTCATCAGACTTGTGCATTTATTAACTAAGGGAGGGAATTTGGAAAGCCAGCGTCATACTGAACTGTATGCAGACGTGTCTCTTGAGTCATGTGTAAACAACACAATTAGATGTTAGGCTGTTCAAAAGCCGACTTCAGTCAGTTTTCCTATAGCATGAATACTTTCATTGTTTATGTGTGTTTAGCTTGTAGAAAACAGTCAACAGATGAGAGTAAACACTAATTAACTCATGATTGATCTGCTGTAGCAATTTGGGGTGCACATCACTGAAAAATAATGATCTGAGTCTTCATTATCTTCTTGGCGTGTCTTCGGGCTTCTGCGTTCTTTCAGGGATCAGGCTCCTGGCAAGTCTGACTTTTAGCAAAAGGAAGGAAAAGAGGGAATTTGATCAGGGACGCCAGGAGCATCACTGCTCTGAGAGAAAGAACAGTATTGAAGGTGACAGGCTGTTCACGCCACTCGCCCTTGATTTAAGGAGATAAAACACCCTTGCACACAAAGAGATCGTCTCCTGAGCTATAGAACAACATGGAGTCAAAGTTTCAAATTCTTATGCTTGGTTTATTAACATTGACCCTATTCCAACCAGCTCTGCATATAGTGATGGGTAGATAATTTTATATCAGACTCCAAACAGAGTTATGTACTTGAGCTTGGAGGTTGCCATTCTGATTGCCCTTTCCTCTAATAGGATTAGGAAAGAAATCCTTGTACCTTGCCTTCTGCAGACTGTGCCGGGGAGGTTAAGTTCATGTTCCTATACACAGACACATAAGAATGTAATCCATTTAGAATTAGTTTGTGCACAATGCAGATAGGTGGAATATCTGGATTCCTGAAATGACACCCAGTTGTTGAAACTCATTTTCAAAGTAAAAAGTGGTTTACCAGATTAAAATTTGTCAGTCTAATTTAATTCAACATATACATCATGAATGTTCAATGTGCAAGGTTTTTTTTTGTTTGTTTGTTTTTGTTTTACAAAATTATACAATTTGGAGGAAACCCAAAGAACATGTTAATACTGTTTCCATGCCCCGGCTCCATATGTGCCTGCAGATTTCCATGTAAAGATGGGGAATCCAGGAGTCTCCTAAATCAGCCATTTCACCAAATCCTTATCCAGCATCCACCCGTGAGTGGTGCTGCCAGATAAGCCTCATTGTCTTAAAGTCCTGGAGAAGATTACTTAAGGACACCTTTGAGTTTAGGAGATGAGAAGAGGAGGGAGAAAAGGAAAGGACTGGTGCTGGAAAGGGAGACTCAGCCTTCTTCCTGGCAACCCAGAGCAGTCGCTTTGCCAGCCACTGGAAAGTGTCTGAAGCTGCTCTCATACCCACGTGGCCGCACTCCAGCTCAGCACCCTCACCGGCCTGGAGGTAGCTGTGGCCGTCCTTCTCTGGGAGCTGTGGAATCTCGATTCCAGAGCTAGGGACTTCTGTAATATTTTTTCGCAGTTGGAGCATTTTAAATTAGCAGTGAAGAGCAAAGACTAGAAGAAAAATGAAGCTCTAATAAATTTCCCTCCCTGGAGTGTTTTCAGAGCCCAGTAATTCACAGGAACCCCGGGTTCAGTGTTGCCACCTACAATGCCCTTAGTTAACGTGGTTTTCTATCTCCCTAACTTTGAGCTAGCTGCCCATTTTTTTTTTCCTGATGAAGTAGGCCCCAACAGACTGTTCCTTCCTTTGTGTTCTCACAAACCTAAGGAAGCTTTTATGGCCTCTTCTCCCTGCCACCATGGGAGATCTGAAGATCCCTGGCACCATTTCCAACTGTGTTTGACTTGAGGTGGTTCTGTCATTCAAACGCTCACTGACGGATTACTGAGCTAGTCTCGAAAAGCCCAGATGACGGGGCAGTACATCACTTTCTTCCCCCAAATAATCCAGGGAGAATAAGCTGGCATTATTTTCTGCCAACTTTCTTCTACTCAAGAACAACGTGCTCCGAAGGCAGCCCTTTGGGGAGTTTATTAAAGTTTGTGATACAGAAAAATAGTGTTTGTTTTATTGCCTTAAAAAATTAAGTTTGCTGTTGATCTGGCATGTATGCCAAGTTCTGGATCATGATGAGAGGGTGGGGGAATAGCACTGTACTATGCTGTGCTCCCACTAGCTGGTTCTCTCAGTGTGTATGTGTCTCTGTCTCAGTCTACACACACACACACACACACACACACACACACACACACACACCGTTAATAGTGGTGGAGCAGTAGTTCTTTCCTATAATCTTAGGGTTCCACTCATTCTGTAGACAAAAGAAATCTTTAAAATCTGAAAGTTTGCTCCCTTTGAGGGGGAGCATTTCATGGCGAAAACACCTGCATAAGAGCCAGCAGAAACAAGGAAAAGCCCCATTGTAGGAAAAAGAAGCAAGAAAGACCTGTCTTTGAAAGTAATGCCTCCTGACATCTAGCAGAGGTCAAACGGTGTGGGCGTAGGGGAAGGGTGTCCAGAAAGACGATGCTGCGTGTGTAATCAAAGCAACTCAAGCTTCCATCTTCAGCCTGCTTGGGCGGTGTCGGTGTCCAAACCTCTGAGAAGAGTGGGTTATAAAGCCCAGTTGTATGTATGCATCTGTGCAAACACACACACACACACACACACACACAATTTAAGGACTCCAGCTGCCTAATAACACTTAAGTACTCCTCTGGTCTTTAATACCGGTGTTGCCCACAGAAGCCTCCTTTCGGTTCAAATGTATCAAAGGAACAAACACCTAAAGAGGAATTAGAACCACCAGTCTTGTCAGTAGAGCCTCTCTGAGGTAGGCTGGGATGCACAGGGTTCCCACTGATCTCCAGGGTGCCCTGTAGAGTTACCATTCAGACGCCTGGCGCCTTGGCACAAGGACCTGAATACAGTGGGCATCGGGAGACCGCCCTGATTCCGGTTTGCATCTTCCACTGGTCACTTTGCCAGGTCCCGGAAGGGTCATCTTGCCCTGCCCTGTCCCGCCCTGCTCTGCCCCGTCCCGCCCTGCCCTTCCAAGCCTTGCTCTGCCCTGCCCACCTGAGGCTCCACATGTAGCTGTGCTTGTAGGGGAAGTAGCTGCCCGGCTCGCTGCAGCAGTACTTGAGGTCTGCGAAGCCGCAACAGTAGAGCAGCGCGGCCCCGTCGCCGTGCCGCGGGCACTGGAAGGACTCCACGAAGCTGCGGTTGAGGCTGTAGTAGCCCGAGCACACGCGGCTGCTCTCGCTCATCGCGGGTGGCCGTGCGTAGGACCCCCGAGGTGCGTGCGAGGTGCGATCGCTCCGGACTTTGCCCAACCCAAGCGACTCTGGGCGCCTCCTGCGATCTGGGGTCCGAGTGCAGGGCGCTCCGCCTCCGCGCCCCTTCGGCTCGCCTCCCGCTGTCCGCGCGGTGCTGGAGCGCTCTGCTCTCGCCGCTGGGTCTCGTCGCTGAGTGGTCCCTTTCCCTGCGTGGCTCGGCCCTCTGCCTCCTCCGCCTCTCCCTCCGACTGTTTTCTTTGCTCTCCGTGGACTCCTATCCACTTTCATTCACTTTATTCAGAGCCTGTCGTAGTCTTCACTCCACACGAGAAGAGATGATCTCTTGAGCGGGAACAGCAGAGGCGGACATGGGTACAGTCTACACAGGTGCACTCAAAGTGTCATATTTGTTGGCCCAGTGACATGGCAAATAGAGCCTGGCGCGTAGAGGCTTTACCTGAATTGACCACCAATCCAGGCCCGGGAGCAGGCTGAATAAAAAGGCTTTGGACTAGCGTTAGGGAGGGCATGGGATGTTCAAAACACTCTCTCAAAAAACTAACTATATGGGGTTTTTAAAACATACAGTGCAGCCCCAAGTTGACTACGTGGAAAAGGGAGGAAAGACAAGAGGTGGCAGAAAAGAAAGTAAGAAACAGAGAGACAGAAAGGGAAGGAATCGGGGAAAGAGACTTGCAATCAATCAGTCACTCCTGGAGCACAGGAGCTACTTTTGCCTATGACTCTCATTTTTCCTAAGTGATCTGTTCAATCTTTTGAAGTAAGAGTAGTGACTGTGCTTGTCATAGAGTGTCAAACGATACTGAGGGGTTTAAGGACAAAAATAACAATAGCCTTAATCTGAGACTAGTGCTCGGAGAATTTCTAGGACAGAACAATTCCTTGTCATTTTCTCCTTCATTCCTTTGGTCAGGGGTTTGATTGGAAGACAGACATCACGGGTTTGTGGGCTGGATATTTTTGTATTCTTATAAATATTCCCGAGCTCTGCTCTGGAATGTGGTCACTTGGAGACAGTTTGATTCTTTCCATTTTGTTTTCAAGCTCTGCTAGGCAGGACCGGCATGGACTTGAGGACTAAATTTTTCCCTACCAAGCCCAATACCTTCTGAATAGTCTACCCCACAACCTGCGAATTGCAAAGCTTACCACTGTGGGCACCCCGGCTATCTCCAGACCTCTGGGGACTCTGATCCCGCCACTTGAACTCTCTCTCCCTGCAAGATTGCTATGCTCTCCAGCGGGGGCCGAGTCCTTGCAAGTCTTCCTTCACCCATTTCCCTTTTCAGAGACCACCATCCCTCAGTAAGTCATATCTATGACCAGAACCCATGAGATCTCCCCGCCCCCCCCCCCCGAATTAAATCTGATTCCTAGCACTAGTATGCCACAGATTCAGCCAGAGAGTGGATCCAATTTAGTTAGGACAGGGGTGTGTCTCTCTCACAGAACTGGAATTCCATCATGTACCCAGGAAGGCAAAAAGAAGCAATGAATATAAAAGAGGACAATGAGCCACAGGGAGTAACAAACAAGGGTTTGACAAGTGTCAATAGTTTCGTGATTTTTCTTTGAGTTTTTTCCTGCGCCGTGTCAATTTTTTTCTACTCTTGAGTTCCTTGAGACCCCTGTCACTCAAGAGCAAATGCCCCCTTTCTGGTGTATGTGCCTTCAAGTTGTTTTATTATTCCTGAGACTGGACTCAGCGGGTTTTGAACTTGCTATGTCATCAAGGGTAACCTTGACCTTCTGATATTCCTGTCACCATATGGTATGCATTGCCGTGCCCCATGTATCTAGCGCTGGGGATTGACCACAGAGCCTCCTGAAACCTAGGCAAACACTCCACCAACTGAGTTGCATACACAGCCCTCAAGTTGGGTTCTACTACATAAGGGCACCACACAATATTTTGATCAATGATGGACCACATTTACAGGGGATACAGGGAGTCCCGTGCAATTTTATTGCCTAGTGACATCATAGCAATCTTAGTTTGTATAAATACACTCTGTGGTGTTCACATAACAAAATCAATTAGTAAGGACTCTCAGACTGTGACATGGCTGATTGACTGGTAACTGTTGATGCTACAAGAATTTTCTGCCTCAGTTGGGTGGTGGTGAGGGCACTCCTTTAATCCCAGCACTCGGAAGGTAGAGGCAGGTGAATCTCTGTGAGTTTGAAGCCAGTCTGGTCTACAAAAACTAGTTCCAGGACAGGCTCCAAAGCTACAGAGAAAACATCTCGAAAAATAAAACAAAACAAAACAAACAAAAAACAGTTTCTGCCTCATAAATACAGGACATTTTCAGAGGGAAGTTAGAGGAGGAAATGTTGAAATAATGAGGCTCCTTAGTCAACGGGCATGCTCCTTTAAAGGAGGGAAAGTCAGACCTCACAAGCTGACATGTGGGAACTTGATAAGCTTGGGAAAGATGGAGAATGAGCACTGTGTGGACAGAGCTTGGAGCCAGGCAGGATGGATTAAGGAGAGAATGCACTGCCAGGGCTCAATCTTAGATGACACAGTTTTCTGGCCAGAATCTTTCTGACAACGAATGTTCAGTCATTTAGTACAGGAGCAGAAGAAAGGGTGGTAGAATTGGTCAGAAGATTCTCTGGAGTAGCACAAACATCATGGGAGCATCTTATCCTGCACATCTTGTAGACACAGACAAAATACACAACACACAGCTGCCAGACTCCACCCAGTAGGGACTAGTCCAAAGCAGAAGCCTTTTAACACACAGCATTAGAAGTGTCAAGTGGCACTGTCAAGACCATGCCTTTGAATCAGCTAAGAAAATGCCAGCTGGACATGGTAGCCTAAGTCTGTATTCAGTACTATGGCTCATGATTTCAAGACCAGACTAAGAAACACAGGTTCAAGACCTGGCTACAAACTACAGAAGGAGTGGATGTAGTTGACAGTAGAGCGATTGTCTAGACCATTGGTTCAATCTCAAACATCACTCCCATTGATGCTGCTGCTGCTGGTGGTGGTGGTGGTGGTGGTGATGAGGAGGAGGAAGAGGAGGAGGACAAAGAAGAGGAGGAAGAGAAGGAAGAGAAGGAGGAGGAGAAGGATGATGATGAGGAGGAGGAGGAGGAAGAGAAGGAGGAGGAAGAGAAGGAGGAGGAGAAGGATGATGATGATGAGGAGGAGGAGGAGGAGGAGGAGAAGGAGGGGAAGAAGGAGGAGGAGGAGGATGTGGTGACTTGAATGAAATGCCCCTCATTAAGTCTTGGGCATAAAGATTAAAAGTTCATGGCTGGCCTGAACAATTCATCAAGACTCTGTCTCAAAATAAAAAGGGTTTTACTTTTATTTTTATCTTTTAAGGTAGGAGAAGGGTTGGAAGATGACTCAGCAGGTAATAGCACTTGCTGTTCAAGTCCAATGACCTCCATTCAATGCCCAGAGCCCTTGCAAACGTGAAAGAAGACAAGAGGGTCTACAAAAAAGGACCTATGACCTTTGAACATGCACCCTGGTACAACCACCATGACCTCCTATCATACATGCACACACACAATGAATAAATAAATAAACAACATGCTTTGAAAGGCCTGTGATATAAGCCAATGGTAGAGTGTTTGCCTAGCACGGTGGTTCTCAACCTTCCTAATGCTGCGACCCTTTCATACAATTACTCATATTGTGGTAACTTCCAACTATAAAATTATTTTTGTTGCTACTTCATAATTGTAATTTGCTGCCATTATGATTTGTAATATAAATATCTGTGTTTTCTGATGGTCTTAGGCAATCCCTGTGGGTTATGACCTACAAGTTGAAAATCATTGATTAGAATTCTGTATTGAACCTAGTAACAAGTCTTTGGCTTGACATTGCTTGCTTTGTGGTTACTGCCCTAAGGGTCCCCTGGCAGAAATTATGACAGGAAGTGCAATGTGACTGGCTAAACACCCAAGGTCATGAGTTATATAATTTCTCTCCTTGAATCTTAGTGAGGAGAATGAGATAAAAGGAATATTCCTTATTAGGGGATACTTTAGAAATAAGACGTTTCGGGTGTTACGACTGTGAGTGAGTCCTAACGAACTGAATGAAGTGTCCTGGAGACACGAGACAGCTTCACACTGTGCAGAACTACAGGAAAGTGAGCACCGTCTGTGACCTCCCAATGTTCCACAAGACGTCGTCTACGTGAAGAGCCCCTTTACAGTGATCTCTTCCTAGAACCCAGCCCTGTTTTACAAATAAACAAAACATACTTTTGAATTATCCAGGAATGCATCTACTTTGTAAACTTGTTTGGTTTGGGACTCTGCTAAGAATCGTTTACTTTTTCAGGAAAATCATGTGCCAGGATTGATACCACCCAAGGTTTTGTGTTTTCCTTGCCAGCACAGCCCACCATGCCAGGCTACAGTCAGACTGTCACTCAAGCATAGTGTATAGCTGCTGCACGGTATAACTACACTCTGGCATTTGCATATAAAATGTGTATTTTATTGTAAATTACATTTTCTCCATATTTATATTACAATATAATAATTATATATTGTAGTATGAGGAGCGGGCTGCGTCGTCCTACCACCCGCCACCTGGATAGCTTAACCCCCGAAATAACAATATAGGAATTGTATTAATTAAATTATTGCCTGGTCCATTATATCTAGCCTCTTTTTGACCAGCTCTCATAACCTGATTTAACCCATTTCTACCAATCTGTGTAACATCATGAGGTCGAGGGAAAGATTTAGCATGTCTGATCTGGCAGTTTCATGGTGGCTCTCTCTGACTCTGCTTTCTTTCTCCCAGAATTCAGTTCTGTCTCCCAGCCTATATACGTTCTGCCCTATCAAAGGGCCAAGGCAGTTTCTTTATAAACCAATGAAAGCAACACAAATACAGAAGGACCTCCTTATATAATTCATGACCTTGTTTGTTGGGTCTGCTATAATAGAGTACAATTTCTTCATCCGGTATCTTTTTTTAA